GAGAGAGAGAGAGAGAGAGAGAGAGAGAGAGAGAGAGACCTCCTCCTCATCCATCGTCTCGGCATCTCTTGCGATGGCGAGGGAGGAGGAAGGAGGCGGGGGGGGAGGACGAAGAAGAAGAAGAAGAAGACGAAGAAGAAGAAGAAGAAGAAGAAGAAGAAGAAGAAGAAGAAGAAGAAGAGGAGGAGGCGGAGGAGAAAGGTGAAGAGGAAGTAGAGAAGGGAGAAGGAGGGGAGGAGGAGGAGGAGGAGGAGGAGAGGAGGAAGAAGAAGAAGAAGAAGAATAAGAAGTCGAACAGGAGAAAGATGAGGAGGAGGAGGTGGAGGATGGGAGAACGGGGGAGGAGGTCGTCGTCTGTACGACGACGTTATCGTCTTCCTGTTTTTTTTTTTCGGTTTTTATTTCGTTCTTTTTCACGGTTGATTCATCAGTGAATCAATCAATCAATCAATCAATCAATCAATCAATCAATCATCCAACAGGTCGACTGTGTGGTCGATCTTTATTTATCATTTGACCAGTCGGTTGGTTGATTGATTGATTGATTGAGGAGACTATGACTAAGAACAGGGGTCTGGTAGTGGGGGGGAGGGTCTGGTGGGGGTTGGGAAGTATCTGGTCAGGGTTGGGCAATCGGGAAGGAGGCGGGCGGAAGGGAGGCGCATGGAGAGGAGCTGGGCAAAGGGGAAGTACGCGGAAAGGGGAGAAGGGAGGTGGAGGGAGGAGGGAGGATTGGGAGGGGGGTATGAAGGTACAGGCGAGTTGAAGGGAGGGAGGACGAGGGAGGAGTTCTCTGTAGGAAGAGCCGCGACTGTTTTTTCCCTTTTATTTAACTTCTTTCTTCTTCTTTGTTTTCTTTTTTTGGCTTTGTTTTCGCTTTCCTTTACTATTTGTCCATTAGCAATCAATCAATCAATCAATCAATCAATCAATCAATCAATCAATCAATCAATCAATCAATCAATTAATTAATGAAGATTGACCAGGGTCGATCTTGATTGATTGATTGATTGATTGATTGATTGATTGATTAATTTGGAGAAGGAGACTATAGCCGGAGGGGGAGAAGTCTTGAGGAGAGTCTGCCGAGGGTCGGGCAAGGTCGGGGGGCCGTCGGAGAGGGTCAGGCGAGGAGAAAAGTGTGGAGGAGTCTCAATCAATCCAGACTTTCCCCCCTCCTTTCCGTCCTCCTCCCCCCTCCCTCCTTCTTCGACGCTAGCCAGACAGCTCCCCCCAACACCCCTCGTCCTCCTCCTCTATCGACTCATCGATCGGCAATGGATTCTATGATCCGCGCAGTCGGGGTGAGGAAGAAGAAGAAAAACGAAGTAGGAAGAAAAACTAAGTACGACGTAGTGGAAAGAAGAAGGAGAGGCGAAGTAGTGGCCGTCGGCCGATGTACAAGTAGTCGAGGAAGAAGAGTGGTAGGAGTAGTCGTAGGGGTGGTGGTGGAAGTACAAGCAGTCGAAGAAGTAGGGGTAGTAGTTGTAGGGGGTAATTTTTTTATTTATTATTATTTTTTTTTTTGGGCGGGGGGGGAGGGGGAAGGTTGCTGATCCCCCCCCCCGGCAAAACCCTGGCCAAATTTCGACCCCAAAATGGACGCGCGGTGCGGGAGGTCACCAAAAAAACTTTCTGTCCTGCTTGCACCCCGGGGGCCAAGTCCCACTAGCAGCGTTGAGCTACCTCAACGCCTGAATCTGGACGTGTTTGTGGAGACGTGCAGTTCAGGAAGCTCAACAGCATTTCTGCACATCTGCGCAAAAGCGTCCAGATTCAGGCGTTGAGGTAGCTCAACGCTGCAAGTGGGACTTGGCCAGGGATGGGCCGGTGAATCACTTTCCCGCCATTTTTGCACAGGGGCCTCTGGAGCCTGGCCCAGCCGCCGCGGTAACGTCAGCAGGGCCCGCTGCGGAAAAACGGCGGGAAAGTGATATACCGGGTGCAAGAAGTACGAAAAAGCGTTTTTTGGGGACCTCCCGCACGGCGCGTCCGTTTTGGGGTGGACATTTGACAAAGGTTTTGCGGGCGGGGGGGGGGGGGGGGATCAACGACTTTTTCCTAGTCGTAGTGGCAGTAGTAGAAGAAGATGTAGTAGAAGTAGTAGTAGTAGAAGAAGATGTAGTAGAAGACGAGGAAGTAGTCGAAGAAGAAGATGTAGTAGAAGAAAAAGTAGTAGTAGAAGAAGACGATGTATTACTAGGTGTATAAGTTCTGTTGTTTTCCTTTTCCATTTGTGCAGGTGTTGAGGGACAGTTGCAAATTGAGTATGGAATCTGCGGATGGTGGATCCGGCGACTCTCTGTGTGTGCGTGTGTGTATGTGTGTGTGTGTGTGTGTGTGTGTGTGTAAAAGAGAGAGAGAGAGAGAGAGCCCGAGAGAGAGAGAGAGAGAGAGAGAGAGAGAGAGAGAG